GTGCAACGCACGTGAAGCATTGCTAGTGTAAAAGGCAAGAATGAATTTACTAATAAAAGTACCTTAACATGAAAAATTTTTGATTTACTATTTTACCGTTATAAAAATATTTAAATACCAAATTATTTTTCTATAGTTAAATATCAAAATTACCATCATATTCTTATGCATTTAAATTAATCTTAAAATTTATTTTAATTCTCTATTCTCTAGGTATAAATATCAATATCTATAAAACTTAACAAATATTACTATAAGTATCAATATAAAATAAGCATTGATTAGAATATTGACAAATATTATTATTTTATGCAATAAATTATAAGTTGAAACCTAATCAAATGAATTATTTTTAATACGAGCAATAAAAATATATTTTTTAATAAAATTAAATTGATATTTAATTTAGGTACACATATACCTAAAAAATTTTATTAATATTTTGTATACGAAAATTATTCACGTTATGCATTTGCTAGTGTAAGGGGCAAAAAATGGGTTTACTAATAAAAGTATATTTGCATGAAAAAATTTTGATTCACTATTTTACCCTTATAAAAATTTTTAAATACCACATTATTTTTCTATGGTTTAATATCAAAATTACCATCATATCCTTATGCATTTAAATTAATCTTAACATTTCTTTTAATTATGTATTCTCTAAGTATAAATATCAGTATCTATAAAACTTGAAAAATATCACCAATATTACTATAAGTATCAATAAAAAATAAGCATTGATTAGAATATTGACAAATATTATTATTTTATTTAATGAATTATAAGTTGAAACCTAATAAAATGAATTATTTTTAATACGAGTAATAAAAACATATTTTTTTATAAACTTGAATTGATATTTAATTTAAGTACACATATACCTAAAACTTTTTATTAATATTTTGTATACGAAAATTATTCACGTGCAATGCATGTGGTGCATTGCGAGTGTAAGGGACAAAAATGGTTTTACCTCTCACGAGCATTGTTGAGTTTGAGTCTTGTACACTTCCTTATTCTTCCTGCAAAATGAACAAACTGTCCAAGAACGAAATATTTCGATCGAAGACACTCTGATGCTTAAGTCAGTAATTGTATGTAGAGAATATGTGTGTAGGAAAAATTCAACGTACCCTTTGTTGTGCATGCTTGACACCTTTTATAGCGTCTCTCTTCATTAGGGTTTCTTTGATTGATGATGCAAGGTGACATACCTCCTATCAATCTGGAATATTTGTTAGGGATTCGTTGAAATCTCTCCAGACGTTCCCCCGGTTGACTAGCTCTCCCCGAGCCATTGATTATGCTTATCTGTTACATCAGAATGCCTAAATTGCAAGCATTTCCTTAGTTCGAGGCTGCCTACTTGTGGAGCTCGGCTTTGTCAAAATTGAGCTCTTGATCTCCTTACCGAGCTCTTAGATGATTCGGCCCTGCATCATTGAAGTGAAAGCCCATAACTAGACTTAGCTACTACTTTATTGTTTTCTCACGTAATCTATTACATCATCCTCACGTGAGCATATTAAATGCTCCTTGCACGTGGCGTAATTTCAATGCCCCTTCAATTGTCCCTAGGAAACGTGTGTCAGACACTTTTTCGTTTGACAGTCGGTTCATGCTCCTAAGCTATTATTGTATGCATCCTTGAGACATCTTTTTTTATCACAAATGTCAATCCAATGACAATATATGACAAGCACGATATAGAATTAAGTTACCCAATATATTCTTTTCTTATTTGCTATAAATGTCAACCCAATGACAACATATAACCAGCATGACATAAAATCATGGTTTAACAAGAAGGTATAAAAACATACCAACTATCTAAATCATGCATGTAAAGTAAGCAAAGGATAAACAAGGCATATAACTCAAAGTCTAATATTATAAAGCATCAATAACAAGGCTAAGAGTATTGTCACGACAAATAAAAATTAAAGCAAACAAATAAAAAGTCAACAAATAGGAAAAGTAAAAAAAAATAGAGTCCTTTAGTATAGACCATAAATGAATAATAAATACTCAAACTCCCATATTACATAAACTAAAGTCTATAAAATAACTCAAGTGGCTGCATCATCTCCACCGGCTCCAATATCTCTCGGCCCACCATCATGTCTAGGCAACTTTGTCTCTAAATCTGTCTTGTCTGCCACTAGCTCTCCCTCAATCTACCCTTGATCAATAGTTGAAGTTGTCCAACTCTCCAAATAAGCGAACCAAAGACAACCTACTGAACCGTCTCCACACTCGCAATCTGACTATCCAACGCATCTAATCTCTAAGAAGTAAGACAATGATGCTCGTTCATGCGCTGCTGCATACTAGTAAGTATATCAACCTACGATGCTAACTGAGTAGCAAATATGTCAACTAGGATTACGTGGTGGTGGCGGCCTAGACATACTAATCGTAGGATGAACAAGTGGATCTCCTACAACTTGTCCAATCTCTTCAACTATCACAACATAATCAGTCTGGACCTTGTTTTTCTTCATAGAACTCTTGTTCAAATTACCCATAGGGTACTGCAATAACTCATCTGTCCTTGCAGATGTGAGTTATCAATGATCAAAAAGTTATACCATCTGATACTCTCCCATATAACCAGGCTTGCTGAATAAACCCAAGTGTCATTGTAAGCAAATCGAGATCTAGCCCTATTCCTATAGCATATAGCATATGTGCTCTCTGAACTAGAAAGTCTAAGATGTGGGATTTCGGTTCTATGTTGTAGTTGGCTATGAAATTAAACATCCTATATTTTGGGGTTAGATATTTCTAGAAAGAGTTCAAAGCAACACAAAGTTTAGGATGTTCTACACCATATAGTTTTGTAGCCAAAATATGGAAATAAGGCAAATTCTCAACCGGTCTTTCATTGAGGGCATTATTTTCTACCCTAAGCAAACCAAGAGTGGCAGCTATGAAATCGACAGAAAATACAAAGTGATCATCTTGGGTCAACTGGGCAGAATGATAAGAGTCAAACAAAAGATTGTCAGTAAAAGATTTGATTTGAAAAAATAAATAAATTCACTTTCATAATAGGGTCCGTGGGAGATTCATTTATAAAATAATTTTCCCTTTTTATCCCAAGTGGGTACAAGAAATGAGAGCAGTTATGCACATTGTCATTTGACTGATCCGCCTGGGTCAAATTTATGTGTCAACCAAAATAATTTTTTTGTTTGTAAAATATTTGATTTGGAAAAAATCTATGCACTTTTCTACTAAGATTAAAATCTCAAATAATATGTCATTGAAACTTCCTATTCGGTAAATAGCTAAACTTGATAGGTGTTGATAATTAATTTTTGACTTCTTTGATTAGTGACCGTTAGATCTTGATCCAACGACTCATGTAAGAGTACTCACTTAAGACTATAGTATGATGCTTCTACAATCACGCTACTTTATATATATTATTAAAACCTTAAGATGAGGTATAGAATTTTTAAAAACTTGGAGGGTACAAGGTAATTTGGCTCCCTTATGATAAAATCTTGACTCAATTCCTGAACCCAAATGTTTTTATTTCAGAACAAAGCGTGTTTACAAAATAAACAGAAGACATTTTTGGCAAAACATACTTTTTCTTGAAGTTTTATTCTTCAAACACCTTTTTGGTTCATTGTGGATTTTTTTTTGAAGGCATGTCTTCAACACGTGCCTTTTACCTAACCCTGTCAGTACGCAAAAGGGTGTGGAGCTTTCACTTTGGATTAAAACTGACTGGCTCCTAAAGAAAACTTGACCAAACATTGTAAATGTCCTCATACTAAAGCTTGTTGTCGATGATATCCTACCATCCGAGGGGAAAAAGAGCAGTAAAATGGCCAATGAAAACAAACAATTGTGCTTACCCTCTAATAGACAGACTAGCATTGTTTTGTTTTGATTTTTTTTTATTTTTTTGGAAACAAGGATTGTCCAAACCTATTGCAATTTAGACTCGTGGCTGCAAATATTCAACCACATTGTTGTATGTGATTACCTCATACACAGCAAGAAAGAATAGATCTGTGCTTTTCTATCCGTAGCGCAAACCTATAGAAGTTATCTTCCTTGTGTCTCTATTGTTACCCTAATTCATATCTACTATCTAGTTCTTTGTTCCCTTTTTACATTTTTTTCTCTTGTCGCTTGTTCGGTCTTTATTCCAACCCGGCTCTTGATTTTTTGACCGTGTTTCTTCTAGTTCTTCGACAAGATGTCTAAAAAGGTTATCAATCAATTCCAATCTTTCTCTTTAACAAAGGGAGAAAATGTGATTATTGATTTTGATAATGATTATATTGCTAATGTTTTGGAAGAATGTGGGAGGAGCCTTTATGGAAAATTAATATTAGATAGGATTACTAATATTTTGGCCCTCATGAGCACCATGGCTTCTGTGTGGAGGTGCAAGGGAATGAAGATTATTAGACCAAGTCCCACTATATTTCAATTTATCTTTCAAGAATCTCAGGACATGCTCAAGGTGCTATTGCAAGGGTCGTGGTGTTTCGACAATCATTTACTCATATTTAAGCAGTGGTCAAAGGTGTCTTTGTAAGTGATTTTTCTTTTGATAAATCTATCTCCTGAGTCCATGTTCATGGACTCCCTTATGAATGTTGTACTAAGGATTTAGCTATTAAAGTGGCGAGTAGTTTTCCTAAATCTGAAGTGATGGAAATACGTGAATCGTTGGGGGGTATTGGACAACAATTTATGAGGATTAGAGTTGAAATCTCAGTGATGTCTCCACTGTAAAGAGGTATTAAACTACATGGCGGGGATGGTAAGATTTACTCGGCAGCCCTTCAATATGAAGGACTTCCACATTTGTGTTCTTACTATGGTAGGTTAGGGCATACTGAGAAGCACTGTGTAGACCTAAAACAGATGTAGCTTCTCGGAAAGAAAGCCAATATGAACCTTGGCTGAACACTAGCATCGTAAAATCAATAATAATCCTTAAACACCAAAAACCGTATGCTTTTCCTATGGGTGCAACGTCGGAGGGTGATGGTTTGTCAAACGTGTTTGTTGAGAGGAATCCAAGGATTCCTATTAAGGCATGTACGGTGATAGAGGAAATTGGGGGGCATTATTGTCATGGATTGGATATTGTACCCAATAATCTTACCGAAGTGGAGGGTGAAACTCTTCTGTCCTTGAGGATCCGATAATTCAATGGATCGATAGGGAGTTAGAGATGGAAAAATGTGTTTTTGAATGTTGAGGAACGGGATTGTCTCAAAGAGGATCCGATAATTCACATGGTGTGGATCGGACCTTGACATGTAAGGGCCCAATCGAGGCCCCGGAGGTGGGCTTGGGCTCTGACAGTGTTTTTGTTAATTTCACTTTAAAGGCGAAAGGCCCGATATAACCCAAGCCCAAGAGAAAGGGAGGCCTAAAAAGGTTTCCGAACCCATTAGAATTTCGCATCAGTTAGACCAGGAGACTCCTTCGGCTGAACTTAGAAAGACTCCAGTAGTTCCTCCTTCCGAATCCACCAAGGAAAATGGGTTAGGGCATCTAGACCAAACCCTAGGGGCAAAAATTGGGAAATTAGGGAGACGGTGGTTGGAGATAAACAAAGGGATTCTGATAAACAAACTGGGAAATAATGCGTTGCGTGATTTACCTGGATGACCATCCAAGAAGTCAAAAATTTCAGATGAAACTCAACTTGTTCAAGCTTTTTCATCGACGAAGACTGATTCTTAGTCCCACCATTCGCTATGATAGGTGTAATTTGGAACTGCCGAAGGTTTGGGAACCCTTGGACAGTTCAAACTCTTCACGATTTGGTGAAGAAAGAAGGTCCCAGCCTCTTGTTCCTTTTGGAGACCAGGTTAGGCACCAGGGAGTTTGGTTGGATTCAACATAAATTAGGTTTTACCCAAGGCTTAATTGTGGATGCTCGGGGACATGCTGGTGGCTTGGCTCTCCTTTGGAAAAGAGGTGTCCAAGTGAGCGTTAAAAGTTACTTTGATTTTCACATTGAAGCGACCATTGATGAGGGAGGCCAAGATCAATGGCAGTTTATTGGCTTCTATGGCCATCCTGATGTGTCTAGGAGGAAATGGTTATGGGATGTTGTCCCGATTGCATTGTCGAGATAATTTATCGATGATATTTGGGGGCGATTTCAACAAGATTATTTCAAACGAAGAGAAGCTGGGTGGAGCAAGAAGACCAGTACGGCAGTTATGTGACTATAGACAAGTGATTGATGATTGTCATTTAGTTGATTATGGGGTTCCAGGGGTATTCCTATACATGGTGCAATGGGAGTCTAAGTGCACACTATATGAAGGAAAGGCTTGATCGTGTTTAGGCCTCAAACTTGTGGATGTCTAGCTTTCCAAGTAGTAGGCTTACTCACATTCCAACCACTGATTCGAATAATTGTCATTTGATTTTGAATGTATCCAAAGAGGCTGTGTGGAATTCTGGTAGGCGGAGGAAGAAATTTAGATTTGAATCCAAGTGGTCCAATGATCCAACATGTGGGGATGTGATTTGTAGTTGCCCGGGAACTCCAATTTTTGGTACCATGGAGGCCAAGTTTATGGATAAAATTAGAGCATGACAAGTGGGATTGCTAAAGTGGAATAAGGAGCATTTTGGTAATGTGAATCATCAACTACTGCTTAACAGAAGGAGACTAGAGCAGCTACAATCCCAAAATTTTAATTACTCCACCAAGGTGGAGTTGGATGCTATAAAGAAACAGAATCACTAACTTTTGGAGGCTGAGGAGATTATGTGGAGACAAAGATCGAAATCATTATGGCTTAAGGAGGAGAACCAAAACACTAAATTCTTTCATGCCCATGCAAATGTGAGAAGGCATCGAAACTTCATCAGTGGGCTTAGGAGCGAGAATGGGGTCTGGATTACTGATAAGAGAATCGTAGAAGGGATGGTAGTTGACTATTTCAAGCATTTGTTCTCTTCTAACAATCCTTCTCAAGATGACTTTGAGAGGGTGTTTAGATGTGTTCAGCCAAAGGTCGCCAATCATATGAATTACAGGTTAGCGAGGGAGTTTACCAAGATGAAGTGATGGCAGCTGTCAGGCAAATCCATTCTTCGAAGGTGCCTAGTCCGGATGGGATGACTGCTGAATTTTACCAGAACTATTGGCATCTGGTTGGTGATGATATTTTCAAACTGGTTTTGGGTTTTTTTAAATGAAGGTGTTAGCTGCCCCAAGCTTAACTATAAACATATTGTCATGATCCCCAAGGTGCTTTCTCCTAAAGATTTATCTCAATTCTGACCAATCAGCTTGTGTAACGTGATTTATAAGGTCTCATCCAAGGTCTTAGCAAATCATTTGAAGGTAATCGTACCAAAGATTATTTCTGAGTTCCAAATTACATTTGTTCCTGGGCGATTAATTACTGATAACGTGCTTGTTGCGTATGAATTGAATCACCACCTAAAGGGGAAGAGACAAGGAGGGTAGAGGATATATGTCCATTAAATTGGATATGAGTAAAGCCTATGATAGGGTGGAATGGAATTTCTTGGAGGGTATTATGACTAAATTAGGCATCGCTGATAGATGGGTCCAGATTGTTATGACCTAAGTCAATACGGTCTCTTACTCAGTGGTGATAAATGGGGAACAAACTGGGTATTTCAAACCACAGAGAGGCATAAGGCGGGGTGACCTTCTGTCACCCTACCTTTTTCTTCTCTATTCGGAGGGACTTTCGGCAGTTTTGAGTAATGCTGAAAGTAATGGTTCTATCCAAGGTTGGAAGTTGGGCGTGGAGCTCTGATGTTTTCCCATTTGCTATTCACATATGACAGCCTCCTTTTTGCGAGGGGTACGATACAGAATGGTGTTGCGATTAAGGAATGCCTTCGCATCTATGAATATACTTCGGGTCAGAAGATTAATATGGCAAAGTCTGCTGTGGTATTTAGCAGAAATGTGAGTGAGGAAAACAAGGCTAGAGTTCAAGATGTCCTTCAAATCCCAGCTGTAAATAGACATAAGAAATATTTGGGTTTGCCATCAATGGTGGGTCGATCAAGGAGGGAGATTTTCTACTCTATACGTAAAAGAGTTTGGACAAAAATCCAAGGATGGAAGGAGAAGTTGTTGTCTAGTGCAGGTAAAGAACTACTCCTTAAGGCAATGGTTCAAGCAATCCCCACGTATGCGATGTCATGTTTCAAGTT